AGGGTGGGAGCACGCATAGAGGCTAGGGTGCACTGGGGGCTAAGGGGCACGCATGGGGAGTTGGCCTTTTGGGGACCTGCAGAGGGCACCACAGGATGGACTGGGGCATCCATGGGAGGCAGGAGGGCACTGGGGACTGGGCTGCCTATGAGGAGTATGAGGGGACAGGGGGGCTGGGGCATCTATAAGGGCAGATGGGCGCAGGGCAGCCGTGGGGAGCAGGGGGGTACAGGGGGCTCGAGCCAATGGGGGGCATGGGAGCATGGGAGGTTGTGGCAACTGTGGAGGGCAGGAGGGCACAGCAGGGACTAGGACACCCATGGTGGGTAGGGTGATATAGAGATCTGGGGCATCCGTTGAGGGCAGGGAGTCAGGGGAGTTTGGGGCAGCTGTGGAGGACAGGGGGTATCAAGGGCAGAGGCCCTCATGGGGGACTGAGGGGGCTGGGGTTAGGCTGGACCAGGGGAGCTCAGGGGGCTGGAGCACCCATGGATGGCAGAGTGAGTCAGGTTGGGGTTGGGGCATCTGGAGGGGGAGGGGGCCATGAGGGGCTGGGGCAGCCCCGGGTGGCAGAAGTACAGAGGGCTGTGACATGAGCTGTCATTGTGGTGACACTGGGGTGCCATTGGGGTGCTCAGGTCTGGGGTGCGCACAGCTGCAGTCCTGCTGGCCATGCCCAGCCTGGCCTGGCTTCTGGCCCTGCTCTCAGTCAACAGTGACACGTTGCTCTGTCACTACCTGTTCGCCGCCTCCAACTGTCTCCAGGTCAGTGGCAACCACCTGAGACTCCACCCATGGGACCTCCAGAGCCACCGCCCCTGGAACCCCCAAAGAGTCCAGAACCCCAAAACCTCTGCCCCTGGGATCCCCAGTGACCACGACCCCTGGGACTCCCAGAGCCCCCTGAACCTCACATCCTTGGGACTTCTAGAGTCCCACACCTATTTGTAGGACACCCAGTGGGCACAGAGAGGTCCTTTGCCATATCCAGGGCACTAATGGGAGATATCCACTGTGTATGGGGGCACCTCAACCACTCCATGGTGCCCATGGAGGGCACCCAGTACATATGGGGGTCCCTCTTCCTGAGATATCAGTGGGGGGCACCTAGTGGGTGTGGGGGGATGCTCATTCTCTTTGAGGTGCCAATGGAATGCACCCAATCTGGATGGTGACCCATTGACCAGTCCAGGGTGCTGCTGGTATCCTCCCAGGCTGTACACACCCTTCCTTGTCCCCCCTGCCCCCTCTCTGCCCAGGGTCCCCTCATCTTCCTGTCCTGTGTGGTGCTGAGCAAGGAGGTGCGAAGGAGCCTCCGCCTGAGCTGTGCCCGCTGCCACCACCCACCTCTGGCCACCAAGGCCACCCTCACTCCTGTGAGTGCTGGGCCACATGGGGGATGCAGGAAGTGAAGGGCAGCCTGTGCCATGGCTATGACATCCTTGTGCCCTTAGCAGGCCTATGGCAGGGACAGCACATACGTGGCAGGGCGACTGTACCCCTCCCCAGGCGGTGGGTCCTCGGGGTCCCTGCACAGCACTGCACGCTCGGGCAAGAGCCACCACAGCTACATCCCCTTTGTGCGACGGTACTGGGCACAGCAGGGGCCAGGGCATGGGTTTTTGTGGTGTCCTGGGCTGGTGTGGCACTGGGATGACAAGATGGGATGGTGGGGTAGCAGGGTGCTGGGGTAGTTGAGTGGTGGGTTGGTCAGGTGGCAGTATGGCATGGGGTATTGGGATGGCAGGATGGTGGGTGGTGGGGTGACATGGTTGTGGGGGTGTTGGGATGGCTATGTGCTGGGTTGTGGGGTGACATGGTTGTGGGGGTGTTGGGATGGCTGTGTGGTGGGGCAGTGGCATGGGTGCACAGCAGTACAGTGGCAGGGTGGCATGCACATGGAGTGGTGAGGTGGCAGGTTGGTCACAGAGTGTTGTGGGGGTGTTAGGGTGAAGAGGTGGCAGCGGCAGGTGTCAGGGTGATGGATATCAGGGTGGTGGGTGTCAGTGGATATTGGGGTGTTGAATGTCAGTGGGTGGATATTGTGTCAGTGGGTTGGTGTCAGTCAGTGGGTGACAGTGGATGGTAGGTGTTTGGGAGTGGGGATCAGGTGTTGATGAGTATTGTGTCTCCACAGGGAGGACTCAGGTCTGGCAGGCAGCCCGGGGCCAGTAGCACTGCCTGAGCCTGGGGGGCTTTTCCTTGATGCCCAGGACCAGCCCGAGGGTACAGTCTCACCCATAGGGCAAGTGCGCCCAGCCTCGGCCCAGGGGGCAGGAGGTGTCTCTGGGCACCCCCTGACCTGTGACTCCCCAGAGCACGACACAGACTCGGACAGTGACTTGTCCCTGGACGACCCGAGTGGATCCTACGGCTCCACACATTCCTCCGACAGCGAGGACGAGGCCCCCTGTGGCTGGGACCCCCTGCCCGGGGCTCCCTCAGGTCCCCCCTGCCCTGGTAACAGCCCCAGGGGGCACCCCGTGGAGATAGGGGACCTTCAGCCTGGCAGGGTGCTGATGGGGAGCACCTAATGGGTTGGGGGAGGTCCCTTGCCTTGTCCAGGACACTGATGGGGGGCACCCGGTGGTTATCGGGGTCCCTTGTCCAGTGTAGAGTGGTGATAGGGCCATTGAATGGATTTGGGGGGTGGGAGGGGGTCCCTCATCTTGGCTGGGTCGTGATGCAGGGGGCACACAGTGACAAAGGATCCCTTGTCCAGCCTGGAGTTCTGATAGACATAGTAGTATAGTGGGTATAAGGGAGAGGGTCCCTTGTCCAGTCTGGTGTTGTGATGGGAGACCCCTAAAAGGTTTGGGGGTTCCTCATGCAGTCAGAGGTGCTGATTGGGGCACACAGGGGGGAAAAATGGCACCTTGTCCAGTTTGGGGTTTGGATGGGACTGACGCAGTGGGATTGGGTGCATCCCTTACACTATGTGCTGGTGGGAGCACCCAGTGAGGACAGGGAGGTTCCCTGGTCCTGCCTGTCCCAGCTTCCTTCCTTCCCCACAGGTGACTCCCTGGTGCCCCTGGGGTGCCCATACTGGCCAGGGGAGTTTGTGACGACAGCGAGTGAGAGTGAGGGACCAGGAGGTAGCGAGGGGCTTCGAGTGCAGCCAGCAGGGGGCCAGGAACATCCCTGGGGTGACCCCCCCCGGCCCAACGGCGAGGCACACCCCAGGGAACCCCTGCTGCTGCCCCTGCCCCACCCCCACAAAGGTACGGGCTGCCATGGCACGGGTGGCACTCCAAATCTGGCCTCCCCACCCATGGGTGATGCTGCTTCTGCAGGGATACTGAAGAAGAAGTGCCTGCCCCCCATCAGTGAGTGGGGCAGTGCCCAGCGCCCTGGGCCGCCCCCACCGCTTCCCGAATGCACGGCTGCCTCCTCGGGCAGCGATGCAGGGGCCCCCCCTGTCCCTCGGCCTCGGCAGAGCCTCCAGGAGCAGCTCAGCGGCCTCACCCCCATTGCTATGAGCATCCGCACAGGCACTGCTGACGAGGACTCCTCTGGCTCTGAGTGAGTGCCCACCACATCTGAGGGGTGCTCACTGGGAGTTCTTTGGGTGCCAGGGTTCCCTCTGGGCACCTGTTGGGTTTGACGGTGCTCTTGGGGTGCCAGGGTTCCTGTTGGGTGGACAAGCAAACACCACTTGTTAGGTACCCTTTGGGTGCTTGTCAGACGCAAGGATGGCTGGGTACCAGGGTGCCACGGTTCCTGTTGCACTCTCATTTGGTGCCACGGTTTCTCTCAGGTGCCCATTGGGCACAGATTGGGTCCAACACTGCTTGTTGGCTGCCCATCAGGTGCCACAGTACTGACTGGACACCCATTGGGTACAACATTACCTGTCGAGTATCCATCAGGTTCCAGGGTTCCCTTTGGGTGTCCACTGGGTGTCAGGGTACCCAACAGGTGCCCTTTGCATGCCCATCAGGCAGGTGCCAGGGTTCCTTCTTGGGTGCTCATTGGGTCCCAGCAGTCCCTTTGAATCCAGCGAATACTGGGTGCCAGGGTGCCCATCATGTGCAAGGTTGTTTGTTGGGTGTCCATAGGGTGCCAAGGTAACCAACAGGTGACCATTGAGTGCTAGGATTCCTCTGGGGTGCCCATGGGGTGCAAAGGTGGCTGTTGGGTGCCCACTACTACTAACTACTGGGTGCCCATTGAGTGTTGGGGTACTCAATGAATACTCATTGGATGCCCATTGACTCCCACACTCACTGGGCGTTCATCAGGTCTAACTGCACCCACTGCGTGCCAATTGACTGTCCATGGGTGCCCATTGACCACTGGATGCCCATTGTGCATCCATTGACCATTATGTATGCATTCGGTGTCCACTGACTGTCCATTGGGTGCCTCATGACCTCTGCGTGCACACTAGGTGATGCTTGGGTCTAACAGCACCTGTTGGGGGTGTTAACTGTTCAGGAGTGTCCACTGACCACTGGGTGCCCCTTGGGTCTAACAGTGCCCATTGGGTGTTGGAGTGCATGTTGGGTGCCCATTGACTGTCCAAAGGTGCCCATTGACCACTGGCTGCCCACTGGGTGTCAGGGTGCCCACTGGAGCATTCATTGGGTGCTGGGGTGCCCACTGGGTACCCCTGACCACCCATGGATGCCCAGGGCAGAGGTGGCACAGCAGCACTAACCCTACTCTTCTTTCCTCCTCTACCCCCCAGATTTCTGTTTTTTAATTTTCTCCATTAACCCAGGGGGGCTGGGGGCTCCCCCCCAAACCCCACCCCACCATCTCCCCCCAGGGGTTGGTGCTGGGTGCTGGGGGGCACAGAGGGCACCCTGGCACCCACCTCCTCCATCATGCATCTGTCTGTCTTATTTTTTATTCTCCCGCCATCCTGCACTTTGTATCCATCCCCCACCTCCCCCCATCTGTTCGTCCCCCCCACCAGGAGCGACGAGACCTCGATCTAATGGGGACCCACCCAGCGGGCAGCCCACCCACTGTGCCAGGGACACCAGGACAGGGAGGGCACCAGGATGGTGGGGACAGGGGGTGGAACACACCAGGACTGGGGGTGCACAAGGATGGGGAGAACATCAGGAAGGAGCAGGGAGCCACAACCCCCCCCTCAGTGCACTTTGTATCCTTGCAGGGATTGGCACCTTGGGGAGATGGCACAGGGTGCCCCTGTTGTCCCCCCATGATCACTCCCAGCCCCTTTGCCCAGCAGAGTGTTTTATTTAAAAAATACATGAAAATACAGAAAAAGGAATTTATAACCAACTTCCCCCATTGTGCCAACTCCCCTTGCCCCCCAAGGTGCCAACCTCCATGAAGGTGCAACCCATCCCATGGTGCCAACTCCCCTAGGTGGGGGGCATGTGGAGGGGGGATCAGATAGGGGTTACAGGGAAGTCTGGGACCCCCCTACCCAGGGGTGAGGCTCAGGTGGGGGAACCCAGGGATGGGTGTTGGGGGGATGAGGGACCCCTGGGTGCTGGAGGATGTGGGGGGTTTCCTACTGCTGATGGGACCTTTTGTAATTAAAGCAAAACTCAATGAGTGCCTCGGCTCATCCCTGGGGAGGCCCCTGGCTGCCACCCCAACCTTAGCTGGTCTTAGCAGCTGGGGGCTCCAACTCTGCAACTGCGCCCCGCAGCCTGTCAACCCAATGGGTGCCTTGGCTGCTCCCTAGGAGTCCCTAGTGCTGCCTGCCTCCTTCCAAAATCCAGTGGATGCCTCAACTCATCCCTGGGGTGGCCTTGGCTCTGCCCCCCCAGCCTAGGTACCTTAGCTGGTACCTAGGGGGGGGGGGGTCTGGGTGCCCCCAGGGCCTCTGGGTGGATGTGGGTTGGTTTGGGGATGTCACCTCGGGGTGCTGCTCACCGCCGTCTTGCGGGAGGGCCGCAGGCGGGTAGGGGGGGGTCCTGGTTTGCACCCTGAGGCACCAGTTGGGGGGGCTGCCCGTGCTGCCCCTGCACCTGCAAAGGGGAAAGAAGCCACAGGGAAACTGAGGCACGGGGGATGGGGCATCCCCTGTGCCCCCCGAACCCCACCACATCCTTACCTCTGGGGGTGGGGGTCCTCCCACCTGTTGCTGGAGTCCGAGGGGACACCTTGGGGAGGGCAGTGGGTGCCGGGGAACAGCCAGAAGGGACAAGGGTGGTGGTGGTCCTGGTATGGGGCTGGCGGGTGGGGGGGGGGCAGGAGACTGTGCCCCCCCTCACCTTAGCCTGGCCTGGGGAGAGAGGGGGGGTTGGGGTACGGCCCAGGAACCCGCGTGGCCATGGTGTCCCCAGCCCCTTGCCATGACTACCTGCTGTCCCTGCCTGGGGGGGCTCTGACCTGCCCCGGGCACCAGCCCCCTGCCCCTGGGGAGGGCATGGCCGGGGGGGGCCTACGCGACTTGGGGGGAGCCCCCTGCCACCCGAGGGTCCCTTTGCTGCTGCTGTGGAATTACGGCTGGGGTGTGCCTGAAAATAGAGCAGGGGACATCACTCAGTGAGCGCCCCCCGCTCCACCCACAGGGCTGGGGGCGGTTCACGATGCCCCTTGGAGACAGGGGGGGCACTCACTGCCCCCATCTAGAATGGGTTTGGGGGGGATCTGGGTGTTCAGCCCGGATGGGACATGGCTACACTGGGACCCCTACCACCGGATCTCACATACCTTGGGCACACTGGTGGCAGCAGAGGCCCCCCGGGCCTTGGCGGGGATGCGGGGGATGGGGGCAGGTCCCCGAGACTCCACGGTGGGCAGGAGCGCCCGCACCGGGCTGTCCTTCACCACGAAGGTCTGGCGGCGGGGGCTGCGGGGTGTGGTGGTGGGTCCCGGGGGGTCTCCGGGAGCGGGAGGGGGCAGGCGACACCCCTCCAACTGTGCCGCCAGGCGCGTGGCCTCCCGCACCATCTCTTCCAGACGGGCCCCGCTCAGGGGACTCCAGCGCGCGTTGCTGCCCCCGTGCTGGCACCTTCCGCCCGGGCTATCCTCATCCTCCTCTTCCTCCTGGCTGCGGATGGGGAGGGGGGAGGGGAAATGGCGGTGTCAGCTCCCAGCGCCGCTGCCAAGAAGTAGGAGGAACCCCCCCATACCATCCAGGACCCCATTCATTATGTGACACATCCCCCAGAACCACATCTATGAGGGGCACATGTCCACAGGACCCCCAGGACCGTGTTCATGGGGTGACAGGTCCCCTAGGAGCCCATCTTTGGGGTGTGATATCCCTTGTGGCCCTCAGGACCCCAGCTATGAGTTGCCACATGCCCCACAACGCCATCCATGGGGTAACATGTCCCCTAGGACACTGACAATGAGGTGCCCTATCCTCCATGTCCCCTCCTATTCCCTATGTTCCCAACTATAAGGTGCCCTGTCCCTGCTGTTCCCATCCATGGGGTGCCCTGCCCCACTACCCTCCCGTACCTGTCAGATGGGGACAGCACGCCAAAGTCGAAGCTCTCCTCGGTGACAAATCGAACATCTAGGGGGACACTGGGGGTGAGCCCCGGCCCCTCTCCGCAGGGGGGAAATATGGGGGACATGCAGCACTGGCACTGCCGTACCTCGGTCCTCGGCCATCGCCTCGGGGCACCGGGGCCACCTGCGGGAGCTGGGGTAGTCACCACCGACTCCATCGGGGTTCCCCACTCGTGCCCCTACCCGCCCCCCCGTGTCCCCAACGCCCCGCGGGGGCCTGGTGGCTCCGGCCAGCGCGCGGGTGACACGGCCAGTGCCAGGCACCGCCGGGCTCGGTGCCACCGGGATGGGGACAGAGATGGCTCCGCCGGCGCCAGGAGGCGGGGGTGACACCGGCGACCCCCGCCAGGGGAACCCACAGCCCAGCACCCCCAGCCCGGGTGTCCTCAGTGCCACAAGGGGAAGTCCCAGCCCATCATCCTGATCCATGTGAGTCCCCAGTGCCACAATGGTGGTTCCCAGCCCCCATCAGGGAACCCCAGCCCAACACTGAGGGGGTGCAACCCCGCTGGGAGGTTGCAGCCCCACACCCAGGGGAACCCTCGTTCCACACCCAGGGGTCCCAGCCCCACACCCACACTCCGATCCCGGGGGACCCCCAGCTCCACATCTTGATCCTCAGGAGGTCCCAGCCCCATGCAAGGGGACTCCATTCCCATAGCTAGGGGCCCCAGCCCTTCACCCCGATCCCTTAGGGACCCCAGCCCGACACTGAGGGGTCCCAGCCCTGCATCCCGATCCCGAGGGAGTCCCATCCACATTCCTAGCCTCCCAGCTCCCAGGCGGGGGGTGTCAGCCCCAAACCCCGACCCTAGGGGTTCCATTCCCACTCCTTGGCCTCCCAGCCGCACACTGTGGGGTCTCAGCCCATAATGGAGCGATCCCTCCCCCACACCTGGGGAATCCCCCAGCCACGCACCCTCAGCCCAGGAGACCCCAGTCCCACATTGGGGGGTCCCAACTCCAGACTAAGAGGGCTCCAGCCCCAACGAGTCCCAGCCCCGCACCCCAATCCCTTCGTGACCCCAGCCCCACACTGAGAAGGTCCCAGCCCCCACCAGGGGTTCAGGCCCCATAACCCCAGCCCTGGGGGTCCTCAGCCCCCACCAGGGGGTCCCAGCCCCTCACCCCGACCCCACGTCTCCCCATCTCCGCATAGGGTTGTTTACCCGGCGCTCAGCGGCCCACCCGATCTCCCCGCCGGTTTTCCCTCTACCCGGGGGTCTCGGTCTGCCCTCGTCCCCCCTCTCCCCCACCACCTCACCGCCCCCGGCTCCCGCTCGTCGCGCGCGCCAAGGAGGCGTGGCCTAACGAAAGGGCGTGGTCTCGTTCGAATTCCCCCTCCCCTTGCGGCTCAATCGCGGCGCGCCCGCCCAGGGTTCCGATTGGCTCGCACCCTTTGAACCTCCACTCTGATTGGCCAGTCTCCTCGCCTTTCGCCTCACTGATTGGCTCTTCCGCTGCCCTACGCCCCGCCCTCATCAGTTGGGGGTGTGGCCCGGAAGCGCGGCGCCTGAGGGTCGTTCCGCCGTCGGTGCCTCCGCAGCATGGCCGCCGTCCCGCCGGACTCCTGGCAGCCGCCCACCGTTTCCATGGAGACCACGTAAGGGGCGGGGCTTCGCCCCGATACCGGCACCGGGACGGGAGGCCCTGCCCACCCCTTGTCCCGCCCCCTTCCGCGGCACCGGTGGTAAATCGGTGTCCGCTCCCTCTCCCTCCGGCTTCCATGCAGCCCCAGTGTTCTTGCTCCCGGTACGGGGCAGTCCCCGGTGTTCGTGATCCCCCGGTATGAGGCAGACCTTGAACTCCACAGGTGCTAAGAAGCTCCCAGTGTCTCCAGAACGGGACAGCTCCGTTATCCCCCAGTATGAACCAGTCCTGGTTTCCGCCCCGTTACTAGAGGGCCTCTGGTTCCCCCGGTGTCCCCCATGGTGTTCATAACCCCCAGACCCCTCGGTACCAGGCAGATCCCAGTGACCCCGTGGTATCCCCTTTGCCCCAGTGTCTCCCAATACCGCGCAGAACCAGCCAGTCCTGGTTGTTTCCCCTGGTACCAAGAGCCATCCATGTCCTCCTGGGGTCCCATTGCCCCCCATCCCCTCTCACCCCTGTGGTCCCTGTCCCTGGCTGACCCTGGGGGATGGGGGGGAGGGGAGTGGGGGGTCACGTTGAGGTGTTTCCTGGTACCCTTCCTGTTCCCATTCCCATTCCCTATATTCCTATTTCCCATTCCCTGGATGGGCCTGCTCGGTGCTAGAGCTGTACTAATAGCACAGCCCCCTGACTTTGGTCTGAAATTGGGGTTGGGGGTCACAGTGGGATGACCCTGCCCTGCAGCTGCAAGAATTGACCCTATAGGTGGAGGAGTTCACAGCAGGGTGACCCCCTGATCTCCTGTTCCCATTCCTGGTTCTGTTCCCCACTCCCAGTGTTGTTCCTGTTCCTGGTTTTCCCATTTCCAGGATAGGCTCTCCAGTGCTGGAGCTGTACTGACAGACAAAGCCCCTAGCTTTGGTCTGAAACTGGGTGTGGGAGTCACAGTGTGATGACCCTCTCTCCCATTCCTGCTGTTCCCATTCACAGAATGAGCCCGCTGGTGCTGGAGCTGCACTGGCAACACAGCCCCTGGCTTTGGTCTGGAGCTGGGGATGTGGGTATCACTTTGGGATGACCCCATTTCCTTTTCCCATTCCCAGTACTGTTCCCCATTTCTGATGCCTTTCCCATTCCCATTCCCTGTGTTCCCATCCCAGGATGGGCCCACTTGTACTGGAACTGTACTGGCAACACGCCCCCCGCACCTGCAAGAACTTTGCTGAGCTGAGCCGCCGCGGGTACTACAACGGCACCAAGTTCCACCGCATCATCAAGGACTTCATGGTGCAGGGAGGGGACCCCACGGGTACTGGTGAGCGCAGGCCTCTGAAATCTCCCTGAGACCTTCCCTGATGTCAGGGGTTCCTGCTGACCCCTGAATCCCTCTGCAGGCCGTGGTGGCGCCTCCATCTACGGGAAACAGTTTGAGGACGAGCTACACCCTGACCTGAAATTCACTGGTGAGTGGGGCCAGCACTGGAAGAACACTGGAGGGGCATCCCTGGGACCCCAGGACCCCACCTATAGAGGGGCAGGACCCCTGAGAACACACCTGTGTGATGGGATGGGATGTCCCCTGTGTCCTTGTCCATGGAGTGACATGACTTCCAGGACTCCAGTCATGGGGTGGCATGTCTCAAGGAGACTGGTTGTGGAGTATGTCCTCCAAGACCCTGGCCATGAGGTGACATGTCTCCCCTGTCCCCCAAGATCCCGTCTAAGTCCTCTGTGCGACAAGTCCTCTGTGTCCCCAGAACCCCATCCGTGGAGTGACGTGACCCCGAGGACCTTTGCCATGGGATGCCCTGTCCTCTATTTCCCCATTCCTGGTGTGACGTGTCCCTGTGTCCCACAGACACCAGGATCCTGGTGATGGCCAACATGGGGCTGGACACTAACAGGAGCCAATTCTTCCTCATGTTCTCCTAGGACCTCTCCATTGGATGACATTTTCCCCATGACACCAGAACCTCAGCCAGGGGATGACATGACCCTGAGACCCTATCTTTAGGGTGGCATGTCCTCCATGTCCCTCAGGACCCCATCTCTGGCGTGGCATGTCCTCCAAGACCCTGGTCATAGCATGGCGTGTCCCTCAGGTTGCCAGGACCCTTGGCCCATGTCCCGCAGGCACTGGGATCCTGGTGATGGCCAGTATAGGGCTGGACAGCAATGGGAGCCAGTTGTTACTGATGTCCACTAAGACCCCTCTGTCAGGTGACAGGTTCCCCAGGAGCCTGTCCATGGAGTGACATGTCCCAAGGATCGCAGCCATAGGATGACGCCCTCCAGGATCCCAATCTTGGAGTGACATGTTTGCCAGGATACCGGGATCTTGGCCATGAGACGACATCCCCGCATGGGATGACATGTCCCCCATCATGCTGGAACCTAGGCTGTGGGGTGGCATGTCCCCTGTATCCCCATCCATGAGGTGACATGTCCCTGTGTCTCACAGGCGCTGGGATCCTGGCAATGGCCAATGCAGGGCCGGACACCAATGGAAGCCAATTTTTCCTGACACTGGGCCCGGCACAGTGGCTGGATGGGAAGCACAGCATTTTCGGGAGGGTGTGCCAAGGAATGGGAGTGCTGGGGCGCCTAGCCATGGTGGAGACCAACTCCCAGGACCGACCCCTCGACGATGTAAAGGTCATCAAGGCGTATCCATCGGGATAGGGATGTGGGGTGCCCTCCCTCCAGATTGTACTGCTCATTTGTAATAAAGGATGTTGGATGTGGTGGGCTCCCCTATAGAGTGGTGGTTTTAGGGGGAGGTGGGGGAAGTGTCTTTGGCATAGTGGGGTCTGGGAGGTTGTGAGCCCCACCCAAAAGGGTTTGTGGGTGCCCTTGGAGGGGTGGGTGTCTCTCCTTGAGGACATGGAGCTCCCAGTGGCCCGAGTTCCTGGGTGTGCAGAGTGGATGCCAGAGACCCAAATTTACCCCTACTGTGTTGTGTCTGTGTGTCCTCAAAGTTTCCTGGGACTGTCCAGAGTGTCCTTCCAGCATGGACCAGTTGGATCACTGAGCTTTGGGTGGAAAGGGGGGCCCAGAGTGTCCCCCCAGAGTGGGCTCCCCACACAGCACTGGGGACCTTCAAACTGGCAGTGGGGTCCTCATGCCAGCACATACTGGGTTCCCCCCCCCCCACTGGGCACTAGGTAACCCCCCCCCCAGCAATGGGTATCCCCTCTGGCTCTCGATGTCACCCCCCTTGCTCCTAGTGCAGGACCTGGGACAGTACTGGGAGCTGCTGGATGCTATCAGAATGGTGCAGGGGAGATACTGGGAGCTACTAGGGGATAGCAGAGGACTGGGGGACTCTGCATCTGCAGTTGGTGGGGCTGTGGGGATACTGGGAAGGTTCTGATTAAGGGAAGTAGGGAGATCGGGGCTTCATTCTGGGGAGTGGGTGGTATCGAGAGTGTCACTATGGCACAGGGGGGCGCACTGGGAGTGTCAGGGGGGTGCTGGGGTTACTGGGCAGGGAGCACTGAGGGTCTGGTCTGGGGGTGATCCCGGGGGCGGTACCAATGGTCCGTGGTGTACTGGGGTCTGGAGGCAGCCTCGGGGGCAATCCCAGGGCAGTAGCGGTGGTCTCGGGGCGATCCCGCGGCTGATCCTTGATACCCGCGCCCGGGGTCACTGGGGATGAGGAGGCGGTACTGGGGACGGTGCGGGGAAAGGCACCGGACTTCCTCGGACTGATGCCGGGGATCTGAGAGCTATCCTGGGGACAGTACCGGTGGTCCGAGGCGGTACCGGGAGTGGTGAGGTGGCCTCGCGGGCGATGCGGGGGAGGTGCCGGTGGTCAGGGGAGGTACAAGGGATTTGGTGTTGATCCCGGGAATCTGAGGGGGATCCCGGGGACAGTACCGGGCTTCCAGCGGGGAACCGGGCTGTGGAGGAGGCCCTGGAGTTGATACGGGGGCCATCCCGGAGATTTAGGGGCGTTTCCGAGGCGGAGCCGGAGGGGTCCCGCGGGCCCGGGAGGTACCAAGGATTTGGAAGCAGGCCTGGAGGCGGTGCGAGGGTAGATCTGGGGGTGATTCCGAAAATTTCGGGCCGATCCCAGGGGCAGTATCGAGGGTCCGTGATGGTACCGGGGAAGGGGAGGCGGCCCCAGGGGCGATCGCGGAGGCGGTACCGGGGATCTGGGGACGATCCCGGGGGCGGTCCCGAGCCGGTCCCGGTCTCCCCGCTGGCGATCGCGAAGAAGACCCCGGGGCACTCCCTCGGTGCGCGGCCGGGACCGGGGCCGGGAGCCCCGGGCGGTGCCAAGGGCGGTCCCGGGGCGGAGCCGATCGCGATCGCGGTGCTGGTGCCGGTGTCGGGGCAGCGACGGAGCCCGGGGCATGGCGGGCCTGGGCGCCTCGGAACCGGGCACCGGCCCCGGTCCCGTCCCGGCCACTCGCGTGGAACTCACGGTGTCCTGCAGGTAGCGGGGCTGCGGCGGGAGCCGGCACCGGGCGGCGGGGGCGCGGGGAGGCGCTGGTGCTGGCATTGGAAGGTGCTGGGAGGCACTGGGTTGCACTGTGGTGTATGGTAG